AAAGCCCCTCACACGTGAATGCGGGAGAAAACGGGCGCCACCTCTCGTGCACAGTCGGTATCCCCACCTGCCGGCATGGGTGCTGTCGCGAGGCCACTAGAACGAGACAGGCCTGTTAGGCCTCCTCCTCACATGGGCTTTTACAGCGCCAAATTACGCTGTCACCGCACATATATGCTGTCCCGATGGTTCCTGGCACTCGGTGAGACACCTCCCAGCCTGGTTAGGTGATATGGTTGGGTGATATACGCCTTGACAGCACATCGCATCACGAGCATGTTGCAGTGCAAATCAGGCGGCGGCTAACGCCACCTAGCCGCCCGCATGCGCATGCTGCCCGCACTAGCCGCCCGCATGCGCACTAGCCGCCCGCATGCGCATGCGGGCAACAGGAGTCCCGCCATGCGCATGCGGGCGACTAGTGCTTTTTACGACGGAGCGGTTTGGTCCCGGCACAATCCCCATAGAGATAATGTATTAAAAACGTTAGTTATACGACACAGTTTTACGCCGACCCCGCATCACACGATGGCTTTCCAATTCCATTGGCTTAAAAAAAAAAAATTACGCGCATCGTACGTCGACAAAATAATCAAGAGTGCAAAATATGAACTTGCATTCCCCTCGGTTGATGATTAGAAAAGTGAAGATTGAGACAAGATGTTTTCTTAGACATAGAATGAAAAATTTATTCACCTGGCAGTCCACAAACTTCTGCGCGCACTTCTGCAAGCGGTAGGCAGGGTCGGTACCGAAGCTTCAGCTGGCCGAAGTTTTCTGAGATGATATTTTCATGTTTTTGGCCTGTGTAAACTTTTCCTGGTCGACGTGCAGCTGATCTCCTGTGTTGGTTTGTGGCACTCGCACTCACAAGCTTGAGCGCACGAAAGGATTCGATACAGCTATTTCAACCGTGCAAAATAACTTTCGCTTGTCGTCAGCATTTATTATAACAGATGGACATTACTAGTTGCGCTTTTCATAAGGATACAAATTACAATAGCTCAGTCGAGCACGAAGGCATTCCACTCAACCTTGTGTAAACTTGCAGGTAATTTTCGGACTCAATTTATCAAGGGCAAGATGCGCGTTGGGTTTGGTTTTTTAAAGTTGAGAATAAAGATTCACTCGCACTTGCATCAACTAAGTAATGCTGCCATTGGCAACAATTATTTAATCTACCTTCCTTGGAGAAGCACAAGGCCGTAACATGGGCTTAGTCAGGCTATGTGCGCCTGTTTTGTTTTGTTTTTCTTGCAAGGCCGAGTGTCACTGTTTGTATCCTTAGCTTTTAGATTATACGACGCTCGTATCATACGACGGTTCTGTGTGGTCCCCTGAAAGTCGTATAATCGGGTTCTCACTGTATTTAAAAGAACTACCACAAAAACTTTCTCCAAAATAGCCAGTTGCCTAGATATATTTGTATCTTACTGCATGTATTTTAGACATATAGCACTCATATTTATATATATGCATGTATTCCGGAATGTACTTTTCTGAGTATCTCTGTCCAGCCCTGCAGGACGGGGTGAGAAACCACCGTCCTACACCTGTGTTCTGATGTGTTGGGATCTTCTTGGTGTTCTCAGTGAATTGTTTCGAAAAGATTGCGTGCAAGATATGTAGAGGCCACTGTGCTCGCCTCTATTGCTGATTATGTGCTTTGAGTGTTACTTACATTTGTTGGACAGTCAGTGTTTTTTTTTTTTTATTAGATGAAAGCCTTTAATGCCTCATCAAACACAAAAACTGATTGCCGTCCCGCAGCAGCGGTGTCAACACATGTGATGCAAAAAAAAAGAAAAGGCAAAGCTTGCACTAGGCTGTGTAAGCCTTCTAACAGCGAGACTGGTGCCTCATCAAACACAAAAACTGATTGCCGTCCCGCAGCAGCGGTGTCAACACATGTGATGCAAAAAAAAAAAAAAAGGCAAAGCTTGCACTAGGCTGTGCAAGCCTTCTAACAGTGAGACTGGTGCCTCATCAAACACAAAAACTGATTGCCGTCCCGCAGCAGCGGTGTCAACACATGTGATGCAAAAAAAAAAAAAAAAAGGCAAAGCTTGCACTAGGCTGTGCAAGCCTTCTAACAGTGAGACTGGACGATTCTGCAGACTGATCTGGTTGCTTGTGAGTTATTATTTCTAGGCCTCAGCTTGGTAACACTGGTTGTCTGCTTCTAGGTTGTTGCTAGGCTTTAGCTAGAGGTGATGCTAGGTTGCTTCTGCATCTATTCTCAGTGCAAACTGGTTGGAGTTAAACCACAGACAGTCCAAGACAGGACACAGTCACGTTTATTGTCATTGGCACGTCTCGCAGCCACTGTTGCCTTTTTATATTCCTTGAATTATCTCACATGTACACGAGGTTTTGGCTCGCCGCCATCACTTTGCAGTCATTTGTTGGGTTAACCGTTGCCTACTTTCTTCTAGTGAAAGTTGTACTTGTGGGATTTACCCAAAATTTATGGCAGATACTCATTTATGATGATGATAATCTTCTAACAAGCCACCAAAAGTTCTGTGGCACATATTCGTTTATTGGGTTAACTGTTGCCTTCTTCAATTTTATTAGACCAGTGGTGAATAGTGGAATTTACCCGGTTTCTGTGGCACATATCCTTTCAAGATGATAGTTTATTTGGTACAGGGTGAACAAAGTATGCTTTGATAAACAGCTTCGCTGTTAACAACCATCATATCTTGATGATGTCGCCACCATGCGGCGTCACAGATAGCCAAAATTTGTGCCGTCATCACATGACAACATCGTTTGGTCGAAAGTGGACCTACCACGCAGGCAGTGCAAAAGCAGGCGAGATGCCTCACATTCTGGACGTAGCGCGAACCCACGTATAGGAGCAAAAAGCTTTTGTGGGTGGCGTGCAGGACCAATACATCGAATGAGAAGAAAACGAAGATGGCTTTCACTTTAAAGTCGTCTTAGGTGAATGCATAAGGGAGATAGCTTTGCTTTGAGCGTTACTCACCTCTGTTGGACACCCGATGTTTCACCCGATTGTTTTACTTAAGCTTGTGGTTTCTGTATATGCTTTGCTGCTACAACGAAGAGACAATGTACAGTCAAACCCCGCTACGAAAAACGCCTCTTAAGCGAAATTTTCGCAACAACAAAAAAATGCACGGTTTTCCGCCAGCAGACCATAGGAGTCAATGCATGAATATTGTCGCCACATCGAACACTTTTTCTTCGGCCGTCCCGCTTTTACAAAATTTCACGATGCAATTCCAGGCTCAGATATTTATTGCTGTACAGTAAAAACAATCTTTGACATTTTGATACATTTTAAGAACCTGAAAATACGTCGACGAATTCTAAAACACACGTTGGCACAACCAAAAAACCACCGCTGTTCAACAAACATGGGCGCCGCCATCGCTTTATAGCGATGGCAACGAGACTGTCCTGCTTTTGCCACTGCTTTTGAGCCGCAGACAATCCGAAGCTGAAGCTCAGTCGCTCAGTTTATGTACAGTCAACGTACAGTGTACTAGAATATACTCTAGTTTATGTATAGTGTACTAGAATTCTAGTACGCCATAGTTTATGGTTTCCTTCACGCAGCTGGTGGGTGCAACCGCGGAACGCTGCCTTTTCCGACGCCAATGCTTATCATTTTGTTCGCGCCTGGCCAATGTGGTAACTAATCAGAGCGGCTGTTCGTTTGCATTATCAACAAAATCAGCTATCCACAAGAGGTGTATGATAACAATGGTATAGAATAAGGCAAAAGTCAACGCACCACAATACCTTGCCTCCGTGTCGCGCGTTGTCGTATACACTGATGCCGGACAGCTGCTGGCGTTAATGCAACTGTTCGGTTCGTTCATGTAAGTGGTTGTAGACGTTGCTTCAGCGTGCTTTTCACCATGGCCTCGCTATGCATTGGTGAGAATCGCGTCGTGACGCTGCTGGAAAAAAATATGAATCAGCGGACACTTTTTGAATTTCGAGAATAAACGTTCCTTTGTTTTACTAGCTCAGATAAGCTACATTTCTTCGATTTAACTACAACGAAATTTTTCATTAAACAAAAGTTTTTCGCGTCCCATCAGTTTCGTTGTAGCGGGGTTTGACTGTAATTCAAAGGAGTACTGTTTTAGGTGAGAGGTATCCTAGGAACTAGGCTTGTCAGCATCTCCTGTTGTCACCGTGTGTCATGTAGTCACGGTCCATCATCAAGTTGCCGTCAAGTTATGACTGTCATACTATCGTAGCATCATGACGACACAAAGTCGACGAAATTTGTGACGCAATCACGGCGTGGCGAAGCACCTTAGGGTCTCTGCTTGTCAGGGTGTAATGTCGTCACGGTGGGTAATGTAGCCACGGTCCACCATAAAAACAGGCATGCGCTACGAAAATAGGGTAAATCTCACTACTCGCCCCCAGTCCACTAGAGATGAAGACATCAAATAAAAAGTACAGCGTTTGACAGAATACTATCTCGTTGGGAGGAGGCATTGAAAAAAAAAAAGATAAAGGCTCACCAAAATAAAAACACTCAACGAAACAAAACATTTTGGCTCCCCCACAGGATCCTTGTTCACAATGAATTTCAAGTGCAGCCAAAACACCTTGTTTTGCTTTAATGTGTTTTTATTGTGGTAGGCGTTCCTTTTTCAATGCAACAGTTAGCAAAACAAATAGCTTACGATGTTAGCAGACTGAAACACCCTTGCCTGCATGCCGGTTTTCAGTCTTGGCATCGTCTAGTGCCTCATCAAGGAAATAAAAAACAAAACTGTTTTGATCCTCCCCTGGTTTTCAAGCTATGACGTTGAAACACCCTTCCCTATTTGCATCTCCCCTCTCAATTTTTTTTCCTTTTTAATCATAGATGGCATTTCACAGACCTCTGTTTGAGAGCCACTTGCTTAGACCATGGTCGGTAACCTGCTTCACTCTTATTCACTTGTGCATGCAGGATGTGATAACACTGGGAGAGCCTCAGGTGGAAGGATGACAAGGCAGAATAGGTTTCTTCCATTTGTTTTTATTAAGACAGTGTGATCATAATGCTAATTCTAGGAACTCACCCGGAAAGCCAACATCCATCGGGTGTACAGGGAAGGTTTAGTAATGTGGAAGGGAGCAAGGACGAAATGCGTGCTTGGCAGAAAAACAAAGAACCCATCGGTTTCAGCCGACAACCTGTGCATGCATTCCGTACACACTGCAAAACAGTTTTTAATTTAGTGAAATTCTTTTCAGCACTTTGTTTATGTCAATTGAAGAAGACTAGTTCATGTACAACAAAAAGGCGTAAACGATCAAGAACAAAGGAGAGAGAGAGAGGCATAGCTGTTAGCACATGTGACATACTAACACACTACAGGAGATGGTAATATAGGCCTGTGAACTGAAGACTAATTACAGAGCTTGTTAAAATTGAACATGATGTTGGTTATTCTGTCGAAAATGGGAACATGGAGCACACCTTGAAGGTACACAGCACTGAAGGGAGTAATTATTACACCTTTTTTTGACACTATGAAAAGAGTGCAAGTAAATCAAAATGTATCCTCATAGGCTGTACCTGTCGGTCTTCGCAAGCATTTTATTAACGTGAGATGCTCGCATACATGGTGTGCAGTAATCACGCACATTTAGTCTTCAGGCATGTAAGACCCATTCAACATCGTGCTTCAATGTACAGCAGACAGCAGTGGGCCTTGAGATGATTACACGGGTGCGTTAAATCATAGCTAAATATATTGAACAATAGGTTCCTTTTACAAGCTTTGATATATATTGCCATGTGATTATAGTTGGACTGCAGGCTCTGAAAAACTCCCCATTTACTGGCATAAGATATTACACCCTTCAGTACGTGTATAAGCATTAAGATGTACACTTGAAGATAATACCTTGTGTACCTACAACAACAAAATTCGTAATGCTCATTTTTTGTCTCTCCTTTTCTACTCTCATTCTGGGTGCAGAAATTGCTGGGATGACACAGAAGATCTGAAATGAGCGCCTCTTGCCTCAGCTACTAATGTGTGCTTTCTAGCTGTGCCTTGACATATTGAACTTGAAGCCCGAAACTGCCGTTGTGTATCGGAAAAAATAAAAAAAACAAGAACAAACGAACACGATAGAGTGAAACAAAACATGCCAAGCACAACTCTCGGCTTCTGTTTACTAACAGGCATTGTACAATGCTCTCCTATACAACAAGTGCACATGGATTCACGAGGCTCTGACACGTAGCCTTGCTTTTAACACTCTGCAAGAAAGTAACAAAACAAAGCAGCTTCTATGCGATTCCTAGAGAAGAGTCTAACCACAACCTTTGGGAGGAAGGTGCATCAACATTGTACACATTCTCGCACTTTTTTCCCCTTTTCTGCACCCGCATCCTTCCAAGAGCATTGTTTAGTTCTCGCAGTGCAGAACACTTATATGTATAACTACACCATTGTAACATTGAAGTAGTAAGTTAATTCGTTAAGTTACGTCCCACAGCAAGCGATGTTTGCATGACAGCGTTGGCCATGGTACTAAAATGACGAAAGTCCATTCAGTGGCGGATCCAGAGGGGGGGCGGTAGGGGCAATCGCCTACTCCTGAAACCTATGTTAGCTCCTCCCACTCCCTTCAGTGCCTCCAGCCCATGTTCAACCCGACGACTGAACACTATTCCTAAAAAAAAGCTTAGAGCAGCAAAATGTGCCTGTATCTGAAGTGTGACAGCCAGTTATTTGTTTTGATGCCTTTAAATTATTACTATATTAGAAAAATGAATAAACAATTAACTGGGGTCCCAGTGAATAAAAATTAATAGTACCTTTCATGATGTGTTGGGGTTCTCGTGATAATAATTACAAAAAACAAACGAGTCGGCACCCCCATTTCTCCAGCTTTACTTCAAGTGACCGCCCACCCTAAAATGAGTGGCTCGATCTGCCCTTGAATCCATTCCAGGTACAATGAATTCAACCCAGGTTACGAGTAAAACTTCCCTGCTCAACTTGACAACAGCTTCTGTTCTCCCACGTATATTTATATATATATATATATATATATATAGGTGGCCTGCAAGGCATTTCCTTTTCTACGCCTCTCACACAAGACTTGTCCACACGCTCTCTGCACACAACAAGCAAAGAAGAGATCGCGTGAATCTATAGAGTGAAAACTTCACACAACGAGTGTTCCACAAGTGTGGTTAGGGTGAGTTCGGTTGGTGGGGAAGAATAAAATATGTCGCTATCATTTTTTCCCCCTCTATTCTGTCGAGCCGTCGTCCTCTTTTACTCCCTCAAACACCATGCCTGCCATGTCATATCTCTGAAAAACACAACAATTCAACAACCCAATGTCCTTTTTTAATGTGAGTGAGTGTGTGTGTCCATATACCTTTCAACAATGAGAAGTCAGAAACCTCCCTTATGACTTGCCACTCTGCACACACGCGATGTATTGCTCCTACTTGTCGAGATTAAATAAAGTAGCAGCAATGACGGGGACGTATAGCAACCGCACAAACACATGCATGTCCTTTCTTGCCCGCCGCCAACACAGTGCGGATTCTGCGTATGTTTTATGTCTTTTCAAGCTGCCCTGGTTTTCTGAGAGCAACTGCGAGTATTAAGTATATGTAACCGCTGAATGACCCGACGAGCAACCTCGCCTTCCAACCATCCTTCCCTGTTGCTGGGCGAGAAAATTATGGGTGAAGACGCAACGTCCAGAGTCCGAGTTTTCAAGCTTCTGTGTGTACACACGTGTGCGTTTGTGTGACAAAGTCCCGCAATGAAAGTGTCACCGAGCTTGCCGTCACGGCTCCATGTGAAATGGACACTGTGGTACAATCTGCTGCCTAGAGAGGGGCATAGCGTGCAGCCAATAAAAACTTGGCTAGACGAAAGACATAAGAACTTCTTTTTGTGCGTCTCCATTATTCTGTTGGTGTTTTTTTTAATACACACACACGAAAAGTAAGGCGTGATGTTCACATTGGGCACGGCGTAGTTGTGTGCGACGCAAAGTCCAGAGGGCACTGTTGTTGCGGTTTGTTGACTAGATGCACTGCTTTTTCACATGCTCATGAGAGGGCACTGACACGCACAGCGATTCGTGTGTGTGAGGAGAGAAAAAGAGAAAAGAGAAGTGAGCATAAGGAGAATTTAGAAATATAGACGCTTCACAAAACGAGGGCTTCAGATCTGGCGCCGTACTGAGATAGAGCGAAAAATAAAAGCATGTTCGGACGGCAACGGCAACGCACTTGGCTTGTATACAGAGCTCACGTCCTTAGGTCCAACCCGCATTCTATTTGGCTCACATTGTCCACCGAGATCCAGCGTTCATGCTTGCTTGCCCATTGGCCTTTTGTAGGCGAAGAGGCACACGAAACAGTGAAATACCAGCGAGCGAGGGACCGCAGCGTTGATGTAACAGAGCGATGGCTTGTAGCATCTGAAACGGTGCATGCAAGACACACACACACGTCACGCCACGGTCCCAGAAGTGACGGCACTGACAGAGCTCTATTTTGTCATGCAGCACACACACACACACCCGTCGCAGTCGACGTGGTTACCTCTGCACACACACGACGACTCCTCTGTAGAACAGGAGTTGGGGGATGGCAAGAAATGGAGGGGGGTTTCCCTTTTCTAAGAGTCAGGGCCGCAGTTAAGCAGCAGAGATGAGGTGGCGAGGTCGCAGTCCGGGGCGACGCCCTTGGTCGAAGTACCGCGCCTTCGGGCGCCGCCGCACCAGCGACTGAATAAGTTAAGGGTGGCAACGCAGCAGGCCCGGAACCGGCCTAGCAAGCCCACTGCGCCTTGCCCTGCCGTCGACGCGTTATTCGTCGTAGCCGTCGGCATCGTAGGCGATGGAGACGTCGGCTCTTGCGGCGGGGTATGTTCCAATACAAGTCCAGAAATGGAGCACGCCATCATTCGGGCGCATTGAGGACTCTCCGGCTGCTAGCCGTCCGAAGACGTCGGAGACTCCTCTCGGATGCAGTTGTCATCGTCCTCGGGCTCTTCAATGGTGATTTGGAATTTGATTTTGTCTGCCGACTTGCCATCGCCGTCACCTTCTTCGTCCCCACCATCAGCAGGTGCGATGTCAGGCACGCTCGACGTCGGACTGATGGGGATCATGTTCTGGTACCAGTCGCGGTTCTCCTCCAGCCTGTCCAGGATCTCCTGTGCATCCGGGTGAACCAGGTCAGCCCACGTCTCCCAGAGTGGGTGCGCGATGTAGTCGATGAAGCCCACCTGCACAAAAGGTATATAGTATCTACGTAAGTGCACAATGTCTACTGAGTTGAAAAATGCCCCTTCTTCTAAACAATGTTACGGTTCACAATTTCGCTTGTTATAAGCGAATTTGGGCTCTTTTTTTTTGCAGTCATTTGTCGCGTTTTTGGGCTTATTTGCATTTTACAGCATATTTAGTTATCAGTTATTGGCACTTCCACTAAAAGCACACCTGTTCATGACTCTGCGCTTTGAAGACAAACATATGTTGGCGATATCAATGAGCAACGTTAATAATGCCCTAGAAAACATTCACTCACCAAATGAAGGCTACCCTAAAGACAAAGTTAAAAAGTAAATACGTACTTTTTGCTGTTACTGCACACATTTCAGCTGTATAAAAGGTTTAAGGCGATTTATTTAATGCCACCACCTATTTAAGTGACAATTTTTATAAAAAATAATGATATTCTCCAGAATGGTAAAAACCAATTTTATTCTGATTCTTTTAGGCTTCTTTGTAAAAGTTGCAACATTTCTTTAGGGTAGCTTCATTTGTGATGATTATTCACTTGTTAGCTGAGTAGCACTCCAGTTACATCTATTGTTTACTGAACCACCACTGACATCACAACTGCTCAGGCCGAGCAACTTCCTACCAAGAATGCCAGGCTGATCCACACTGTTTCAACACCACCGTCATCGGTGTGAATGTGACAGGATTTGTCCCCATCAGAGGTATGAGGAACTAAATTCCAGCATGGGTGCATATGTGACTGGTAAAGACGTGCTTTGAACTACCACTGTCATACTATGCACGCTCCATTCCAGGGCTTCTCTTGTGGACTGCACACACGGTGGAATTAAACACTATATTGTGAAATAGAACATGAAGAAAGAGAGAGAGACAAACATCAGTTTGGCTTGAAAGCGGAATCATTATCGACTTTCGGCTTGAAAGCTGAAAGCCTATTCCTCAATCCTTCCATGTAGCAGGTGCAATAGGACCTTGTTACACTTGCATGTACTTTATGCGGAACATCACATGGACAGCTAATTTTCACTAGGAGTGTCGCTGTACTTGTTATCAATGAACAGAAACAGAAACTGACCAAGGGCTCATTTTTCTTTGTTAAACAACCTAGTAGTTTTAATAAATTGTGTACATTTGTTGTCGTAATGAATTAAGTAAATAAGTTGTAGTATCATCATCTTCCACCAGCTGACGTCATCTTGAACCTTGAGCAACTCTATGACACAGTCTTGCTCAGATGGCCAAACGATTTACTTACTATCAAAAAGAAATGAGAGTGATTGATTGATTTATGAGCCTACAGGAGTGCCGATTAAGAAAAAATATCGCATATGACCAAATACGCACCTGAGTCTTCTCAATAGTGGCCGTATGGCGGTCGCACATGGGACTTATGTCGAGGTTCTCGGCACGTTCTTTGTCACCTTGCATGAAGAACTCGGACATGACCAAGTCCACCCACGTCCTGTACAGCTCTAGTGGCTTGGTTGGATTGCTCAGGTCGGCACAGTGGATCATGTTTTGTAACACCTACACAACACACAGAGCAGACAACTTCAGCGTCGCCAGAAGAGATGTGCTTGTGCAGACATCATGCTGCACAGCATCATGCATTGCTTGAAACAACGCTAATCAGTGGCAGATCCAGGGGAGCAGGGGAAGTAGGTTCAATCGCCCCCACTCCCTTCAGTGTGTCCAACCAACGTTAGCACCGGCAACTCAACCCTATTCATATATAGAGTATAGCGCATCAAAATGTGCCTATATGTGAAGTGTGGTAGCCGTAATTTTGTTTCACTGCTTATGATTTATTATGACCACGCTGATTAAACAAATGTGTGGGACCCCTGTGAGCACAAATGAACATAACTAAAACTTCATTTTTCCAAAGTGAAATCTACCACAAAAATATCTTGTTATATTATCCAAAAAATTATGTTATCAATGTATTTTAGTAAACTGTATCTTTGATAAAAATATTTTACATTTACTTTACCATAACCGATAATTCTTTATATTTGTGTTTGCTACATCGACATTGGAGTGTTTATGCTGTAATGTGGTTCTTTTGATAATAGTAAGTAATAGTAATAATTAATAGTAATAAATAATAGTAACCAAAGAGTTGGGACACCCCTTTCCCTGTTTTACAACAACCCCCCCCCCCCCCCCTTACACTTCTAAAAGAAAAATAAATGAGTGGCTAGATTCACTCCCAATACTGATGCCATTTGGTATGGGCACTGTTTTGACAAAGTCGTATCTTGTTTCGTGCAAACAGAGGCGTGCATGGTTCCTCATTGGAGGGATGGGGGGGGGGGGGAGGGGGGGGGCAAAGGTTTAGTGCATGCGCCCTTTTCCCTCTTCTATTGGTCGAGTCCAAAAGACAAGTCTCACAATGAATTGAATGAAAAAATGCGATTGATCCCCCTATATAGGAACCGGTATAACAAGAAAGTGAAACATGTCTTTACAAAGATAGTTGAGCGTTTATTGTGCATTCTTTCTGCAACCGCAACAAATTGCAAAGCCACATTAAAAACGGCCAGTAACACGAAACTTGTAATGCACAGCTCAAGCAAAAAGCACACAAGAAATTAGTATACACAGGACAAGCGTGGACTAAAAATGGTCACAGCTTGACACTTAAAGCGCACTTAGTATCTTAAAGCACGCTTAATTTCGTAGTACATATTTTTTAACGCCACTTTCGTGACGGAAGTATGTCAGCGGAGCCTTGGTGAACCCCGGCATAAAACTTTCGTCTTTGAAAAAAAGTAATGGAGCAATGACACGCTTTTCAAAATAATCAGGTTTCGGTCCCTGGCTTTCTGGCAGTAAAGATGAGAGAAACAGTTCTTTAAATTAAACATGGGCTGCTATTATGACCAAAAAGCTGCGTGGCTGTAAACATGTTCTCTTGATCAACGATGGGATGGGTCCAACTAATTAAAGTATGCTGTAGACTTTGTGCCCCCCTGTTAGGTAATTAGTAGCCTCCCCCAGCCTTTCTCGTGCACACACCTATGCAAGTAAACCATTAATTGAATTGTTTTTGACTGAAATCTCGGCAGCAGTGTGCACTTTTTGCCGACCATGTCTATGCGGTGTAGTTTGGAATCGCTAATCACGCACGTACCATGCAAAATTCCAAAAATCCATTTTTAATATTGAGAGTGCGTGAGTGCAAACAAGAAAAGCGACAGCTGGCATGAACAGAAAGGGCTGATTGCCCATTCCAGCAAGTTGCAAAGCACTTTACCAAGCACCACAATAAAACGAGAGGTACGATAGCCGAGAATAAAAAAGCGGCCGGGGAGGGTGAAAAGCATGCAGGGAAAGGTGTTTCAGCTCCACTAACGTGAAACCAGGGAAGAGATATCTTTGACGAGGCACTAGTGGGTGCCAAGCCTGAAACCAGGCATGCCGGAAGGGGTGTTTCCATCACGCCAACATTGCTGGAACACTGCGTCAGAATGCAGCTTACCATAAGGTGCTTCTCCTTGCCTACATGCCCAGTTTCAGTTCGCCACGGCATGTAGGGAAGGGTGCTTCAGCTTCACTAATGTCGTCAGCTATTTGTTGGGCTAACACTTGCCCTCTTTATTTTTAGTTGATTCGTAGTGACTAGTGGGATTTACCCTATTTTTGTGGAGCATACCGTTTTATAATGAACCGTGACTACACGACACACTGTTATGATATTAGATGCCTACAAGCCGAGACCTTGATGCGCTTCGCACCTGATATGCCACGGAGATGAGGCTCCCATGATTAAGCTCTTATAGTTTGCATTTCTACCCCTAAAGACAACGTCTGAATGGCTGTTAGAAATACCTATAGTATGCGAGCCAACTCCAAATATTACTCACCACTTTTTAAATACCAGAAGAAATTCTTGAATTACATTGAAGAAAGAGACATAATTATGCATCTTTATGTTTTCATGTTCTTGCATTAAACAAACCCGGATACAATAGCGACATTTTATGACAGCCTGCAAAATGGAGGACGGTGTTTTAAAATTCAAATAAAATTTTACTTGGAATTTTCGTTACAATTTATATGGACCTTGATACATGCAGCTGGCAAGTTTTTTGAAGCAGTCACCCTCCTTGAAAGCAACATTCACTGTACAGTGTTTCCAAATGACAAAGGGTGTTTCTCTAGACAGGTTTATACAGAAACGGACTCATCACACTTAGTAATATAAGATTTCTCTCTCATAATTTTCCATGATAATATGCATTATGTAAATCATTGTGCCCTCACAAATGAGATGGCAAAATGTTTGGTGTATTCAGTTGATGATTAAATTTTTAATTGAATGTTTATAAACACGCGAGTGACCTGAGAGTTGGGAAACACTGGCACACTCATTAGCCATGATGTAACAAGTAGCTTGCAGTGCGAGCGTTTACACTCTGGTGAATACTATTTTGTGGTCAGCTGCATGCAGAATAGAAATATTTTAGCTTTGTTCAGTTTGGCAGTGAAATTAAGCGATGTGCAGCAGCTCCAAGCTCAAACCATGTTGCAAATGAAGTGCTCCTTTCAGAACGTGTCCTTCTGCATCATAACGAAAACAGTTGCAGAGGACGTCTTTCTAAGTATTAATGGTGTTGCCACAGGTGGTGTTAGTCCGGCAGACCTGGCCAGAAATCGTTCCACCTGAGCAATTCTCTCCATGCAGTATGTGACAGCATACAGTATAGTACATCACTTAAACCTGTCTCTCCTAGAAAATGTAAAAGTATAGTAGCCGGTTCCTTGAACACCAACCACACACCTGTTGGAAACACAATTTGTGGGGAAACCCTCTTTTCTTCATACTGTCCATCTGTCTCTCTTTTTCGGAGCCAAGACGCTTACACGACCAAACGTAGGGATGTATACTTCAAAATTCATTGCATTGCATTCAGAGAACAATAGGGAAGGAACATCCCCAAGTTAAATAATTATGCAAACTATCAAAAGAGACAATCCTGTGCCATTATCACTCCTTACAGAATTCGCCCCATCCTGTGTCACAAGAGGACTTCATACCCCTGTCACACGATTATGAAATAACTTCTTTGCGTTTTTCATATTAAAGATGTTTTGGTGCTTTGCTTTATTTTGTGTGTGCATTTGGGTACATGCAACCGTACATTCGATGAATTATCTGCTTTTGGTTGGCTAGGTTAGTATTCTTCTCCTCCCCCAATAAAATGCCAGAAGGCTCTGTGGGTATTGTAATAAATAAATAAATAAATAAATAAATAAATAAATAAAGTAAATAAATAAATAATCAGTCTTTTAGGAAGTTGAAAGACTCAACGAAAGAGAAGTTTTCTTGCAGACCCTCGGCACAGATTCTCTCTTTTTGGCACTTTCTAAGCCTATCGACCTGCTCATGATTGTACTCAAGAAAATAAGCTTCAAAGGGCTCATTACACATGCCTTCTATGAGATATGAAATTAACTTTTTTTTTTACCAATTCGTATTTGCTAGCATTCAATGGTATCGAGGCTAGGTACTCTCCATGCCCATCAAAGAGATCAATGAACACTGTTTCCATAAAATATTGCTTCGGAAAAAAAGATTGCTGTTGCGTGTCTGCGGGCTAAAATTTTTTTGGAACTCTTTTCGCTCAAAATAGTTCCAAGTCGCCACGTGTCAAAGGTATCAGTCACACCAAGTCAATTCCACTGTACAGAGAGTATAAATACAAGCAGGCTGCAAGTGTTTAAAAATTGGGTGTACTGTTCACCTGTATCCTTTCAGTGTAGTTGTCGAGGAGCAAAACCCCAGAGCCGGCGACTTTCTTGGTCTCAACCATGGTCTTGAGATCGGCGAGCAAGCTCATGTGCTTGGACATGTCTGTGGCAAGGACCATGTCGATGACCATCTTGCGTAGCGTGAGTCGCTGCTTTTTCGTTAGGTTCTCGAAGATGTTGCACGTTTCGTCCTGCAGAAGCTTGAACGAGACGGCCAGAGAGTGGTTTTCCAGCACTGACTCGTCGTTGTACATGATGGCAAGCTCAGAACCTGGCAGTGGAAAGAAAAAAAAAAAGAAGAGAAGCACAGTTTCGTCTGAGTGACTGAGGGAGCTAGAAAGTGGAGTTAGCAGTTTATGACACCGTCTTAAAGGCACCTTCCAATGACAATGCCTGTACTTGGTCAATAAATGTGGTACCACTTGATGAGAGGCAGCACGAGCTGTTGTGCCAAATGCTCTCCCAGCAGATTAGTGTAGTACAAGAAAACTTCTTGTTCTTTTCAAAAGTCCACGACATCTACCTGGATCATCATTTTGCTTAGTCATATGGTCCAACTATAACTATGAAGGCTTTCCTGGCAACTTTAATCCTAATGTTAAGAAATCCTCCCCTTTGTTTCGGAAGGAAAAATAAAGTTTGTTTGATTTCTTGTCATGATGTCATAACAGTGTTACATGGTGTGAGAAATGACATGGAAAGCACTAGCACATATTGCTTAACACTTTGATTCATTATACTGTTTACTGCAAGCTCGTGACTCTCCATCAAGGCCCACATGACTCATGTTTCCAGATCCATCGCAGTGACATAAGTTTCTGAGGTCTACAAGTATTTGCGCCTTTTGCGGGTAGACCAGAAAAGGTGTAGGACAACACCAAGAAATATGTCACTGCTTTTTTTTTAATATTTTACAATCAGCATAGTAAAAAAGCTACACTCAAACCTCAATGTAAAAAAATGACATTTTACAGGAAAAAAGTTTGTTTTATCTGAAAATTTATTATAAAGGTACATTTCTAGCACTAGATCTATTACAAGGGTGGTCTTCATTTATTTCATTATAACCGATATTTTTTTACATTGGGGTTAGTTATATATCGTGGTTTGAGTGCACAACATCATTAATATAGGTACACCATTGACGCGGCAAGCAGTGTGTTTAATAGGAACCATTACTCACTAGTGTTGATGAGGTACTGGTTGGTGACGCCCGGGTGGTCGACATCATGGATGGCTGCAGCGAAGAGCGCCGCCAGAGTCTCGAGGTCGGTGAACACGGTGTCGAGCGCGGGCGACAGAAGCAGCACGTGGATGGACTGTGTGACATCGGCCGCATGACTACTGTTGTGGTATGGAACCTTCAGGTAGTGGTCTTCCAAAGTCATAAGAAAGGTCAGAAATTTTTTAGATGAAATATCGAACGTCTTGAGCAGGTCCCGCTCCTGGAAGAAGGACATTTCCAAATGACGCGTGATCACCAGCGCATAACATGCACAAGGAAAGCTGTCACACATTCAGAGATTACGCACTTAAGTGTTAAATATTAAATTATTTGCTTTTTTTTTTCATTACTTACGTTGTCTGCTGCACTCGGCTTTGTTTTTCTTGTTTTGTTTATCAAGATAAAATTTTCGGTTGTGAGACGGCGTTTGGCCTGTGTACTCTGTTTTCTTTTTTTACATCTTCACCCCCTCTCTCTCTATAGGGAGAGGCCGTGGCGTAGAATCTACAGACATGCATTGACATGTCGTAATGCGTACATTTGGTCGGGCCTTTAACATTCGGTACAGGCTAAGGGAGAGTGTACATGTGTAGAGATATGGCACATGAGTCACCCACGCTCTCAGCCGCACAGAAAGATCAGCAGTTATTGACGCAGAAAATGCTCGACTCACCTTGAAAATGGTGTAGGTGATGGCGGTGAGCGGTTTGCCTCCTGAGTACTCGGCCACCTTGAATATGTTGCAGCCCCAGCGGTCGAGATCCTGGAGGACGAGTCCAAGTTCCTGCTCGCGGGGCGTCTCAACCCCGTATTTGGGCAAAGTGGTGAGGCTGTTGGTGTGGTGCAGGGAGCGCCGGATGCCCGAAATCTGGGACATGGCGTCAGACGGCCGGTGCTGGCGCGTCTTGCCGCCGCTGCCGGGGACCCCGGGAGCTGATCCTGGCGCCGCCACGCCCGCGGACACTCCGCCAGTGCCACCACACTCTTCGGGCCGCAGAACCTGGAGGTCGAGGTCTTGGACCTTGTCTGCGCCCAGAAGAGAGCCAACCCGGTGAGACTGGTTGACAGGAACAGCATTAAAAAACATTTTCGACGAGCGGAGGACTTCATAATCTATCATGGCCGTCCAGAGAAGCTGCCCCCCCTTAAAATTTTTGATAATATTTTTTTATGCAGTCTCCAAAATCTGCACGCCTCGACTAGCACACATAGGTACTGCATATTCCTGTAAAATGGCCTTCAGTGCTGACAACTTTGCACTTTACACACTACTGACTAATCTTCCCAGCCACGACATGGAAGGAAAAAAAAGACTGCATGTGCTCTTTGCACACATCCCCCTCTCCTTCTCCCCTATACGGATGCAACCTCCTGCAAAAAGTTTTGCGGACGCCCTTAGACGCCATATCAGCGTGAGAAAAGAGCTGAAAGAGTAATTCGATGAAACCGCAAAGTGCTGAAAACTCAGAGATCAAGAGGTCCCTTTGTTTCTAAAGCTATGGGTTCTCTGAATGTTACAAACCAACTGGCCCAAAGTCTGTTCTGATAGATTAAAGAAGTTGGTGTCAATAATTTCTGTCATATCCAGGCTCTGTGCTGGCAAAAGGGCTATAAAATGCGATGTTGATGAGTCAAATAATGTAGGCACTTTATGGCATCTCTGGCTCACAATCAGGCTAATCAAGAATGCAAGTTATAAGAAGCTTTGCAAAATAAGCTGCAGAGTGAATTATTAAAACAACAACAAAACAGCTAAAATTCATTATAACGAATGCCATATCTGGGCACAACATTGTGAAAGCAGGTTAGAAGCGCGACCAGGACTTATGTACATGCACGTCACGCTGTCATTGATCTGCATCACTTACCCAAAAATGTGTTACAGATGTACTCTGATATTTGGCTCCCCGACTTGGACTCCGAAAAGTGACTCAGTTCCTTGTTGAGCATGCGCTTGAACTGCGGACAGTAAACAGCAGAAGCACAGACGTGACTCAACAATCTGCTGTTTCAAACGAAAAGCAAAACGTGCATTCCAAACATAGCACTATTTTCACTACAAGACAACACACATTGGCCTGCTGTAGCCTATTCGCATAAACAATGAAGCTTACGGGACAGAGCACGCTGAGACATGAACGAATGGTTATAATCTTTCTTGGCTTTAATCTCAAATTTGATTTTGAAGCAAGACGGCGACCAGTAAACACGTTACTTGTTTACTTATTTTTATGCAATAATGTGGTGCCTTACTTGTACCACTCCTGCGCCATATATATTATCTATGTACCTTTTTTTATTATACAATCATATCTATTTTTATACTGCAATATAATCTATAACGACAACTCTGGTTCTATCAATCTCTCGATCCCCACCCCCCCCTTTTTTTGTTTGCAATATATTTCAATAGTTTCTTGCTTATATCAACAGTTAGCCAGTGAGTACTTTCGTATACACTGTAACCCAGAGCCCAGCGAAAGATGGACCCCGATCCTGAGGTATTGTTGAGTGAATATCCCGGCGTTTCATTGCAGTGCATTCAGCAGCCGCGATGACAGCGACAGCTTGTGGTGGTTTGAACAACAAAACACAAGAAACATTGTTTCTTGCTGTTCTACACAAAGAGCTGGCACTGGCTCGTTTTCACGATCGATTCTGCCTTCTTATTTTTGCGGACAAGTTGCACACTGTCTGTAATTCAAGAAATGACAGTTTCACCACAAGGGTCAACCAATCAATGCGATAGCAACAAATGGTTGTGTTATACAAAGTATAAGCAGACAGCTAACTCTTTTGGATCCGATATCACGTAACTCTGGAAACGTTAGTGTAAGAGAATAGTGCCGCTCCATGGAAAGGTGCTCTTTTCGCGCAGTTGCTTCGCATGGAGCGCGCAGCACATGGAAAGGTACACGCGCTGCGCGCTAATGCCTGTCGAGATAGCGCGCGGACCAAGCGAGACCCCACCCACCCTCCTTACACTCTTTGCGTCCCTTCATGCTGGTTTTGAAGGCGAGTTGGGCGTCTCGTCTCTGCATGTGCATTCAACGGCAGATCCAACACGCGGGGTAATCTTATCCCTCCGGGCGACGGAGATGGGCCGGCTGGTTTGACAACTTCAACATCGCCCCTGCTCGCACGCGTGGGGCAGAGCTAGGGGCCAAGCGGGAAAGCAAGTTTTTCAGAGCGGCGAGGCGGCAGCTGCGTGCACCTGATCGATACTAAAATTGGTATGACATAACACGACTGTATCAAGAGCGTAAATGCTTAGTCATAACATAAAAATCATGACATGTATGTAATGATTGCGATGATTTACATTTTATGGTCTTGATATACTCTTGCGATGGTTTCGTTCACATGATGTTTTGCAAAACTGGTATGGTATGACATGACTGCATGGCGAACATAAGCGACAGACCATAACGTAGAAATCATGGCATGCAGGTCATGATTTTCATGTTATGACTAGTCATGACTACACGCCCCGCTCATGGTGCGCTCGCGGTCGTTTCGCTAGCTTCACATATACCGAATTTGGCATTACAGGACGTGAATGGATGACGAAAGTACATGACACGTGTAAACATGATAATCATGACATGAGTGCCATGTAAGAACATGACAACATACCACACTCATGATGCGCTCACGGCCCTTTTACGCGACGTGAATGGACGACAAAGGTAAATTACACGTCCAAACACGATCAGCACGACATGCGTGTCATGTAAAACAAGACTACATGCTACGCTCATAGCGCGCTCACAGCCGTTTTACTAGCTCCACATATAAAAAATTTGGTATCACGTGACGTGTAAGACATGACTACATGCTACGCTCATAGCGCCCTCGCGGCTGTTTATGTCATGTACAGCATAATTTACGTCCGCCTCGTAACGTTGTGCTCATTTTGAAGTGACATATCGACCTTCCTCATTCGTGCTTCGCATATCATCGATTCCCACAATACACGGGATCTGCCAATTTTTTACAGTGTACATATACATACCACCGCTATGCACCGCGCCTTCGCCGCGTAGCGTTCTGATTGGCTGCGGCGGGCCTTGGCGGGCGGCAAAAAATCCACCTTTTCCATTTTCCTGTGCTGCCTTCTGGCGTTTCGGTAGGGGCCAGAACGAAGGCCTCCGAGACCGGGAGTCGCTTCGCGACTTTTCCGCTAGGGAAGGACGCATGCGCCGCAGCGTCGTCGAAAAGGCGGATTGCTCCAGGAGCGACCGCAACATTACGCCTCGTTTTCTGATTGCTTCCGCCGCCTGGAGGGGAGGTTTTTCCCGCTTTGGCAGCCCAGCCTTCGGTGTAAATGATCATTTTAGGGAGGTAGGGAGGGCGTAACTGTGGGGGTTCTGACACCCCTGACATTTTTCTTGCTTTAACTGTTTGGGTGAATGTAGCCACCATGTTTGCGAGGTGTCTCCTGACGGGAAGAGTACCAGAATCTTGGAAGAATGCTAACATCATTTTTATAGATAAGAAAGGAGATGACAAGGACTTGAAGAATTACAGGCCGATCAGCTTGCTCTCCGTAGTATACAAGCGATTTACAAAGGTAATTGCTAACAGAATTAAGGCCACATTAGAATTCAATCAACCAAAGGAACAAGCAGGATTTCGAACAGGCTACTCAGCAATCGACCACATTCGTACTATAAATTAGGTAATAGAGAAATGCTCATAATACAGCCAACCACTATACATAGCCTTCACAGATTTTATGCAGAAGAACCTAGTAACTTAATACAGAGCAACCTAGCCTTTATACAGAACATGACTGTGATGCCGAGGGTAAAACCCGTGTCCGTATAACTGTTATCACGATAACAGCATGTTGCTCGTTCTCTTTCAGATCAATTCGACGTCGCAATCCACAACTCGTTTGAGGGCACTGGTGTTTCGTAACTTCAGCTCCACGCATGCGCTACGACGAGCACTCACTTTGCTGGACGCCATGTCTCCCACAGATCTGTGAGACTGTATCGTCTCCAGCTGCTCGAGGCACCATTCAAGCTCTTTCACGGTGGACGACGCCATCTGACTGTACTCTTCCTCTGGAAGAAGCAAATTATTTGATTATCCGATATGCACAATCAAATACACGGAGGAAACGGGGAGAGGACAGGCGAGAGAAAGCTTGAATCGCACATAGTGTTCAACTGTTGCATGCATGTTATTGCTTCATGTCAGCAGTTGACATTGCTGTTCTGTTGCATTATGTTTCATGACGGTGATGTTCCATATCCCTTTATCATGCGCATAATCTGTGCATAATCTGTTCGTTGCAGCCAAATCTGTAAATGGAGCAGGAGCCTCGGTGCCTTTTGCTCTTACCACATTTCTGTAATGTTACAGAATATAGAAAAGCTTTCTTTCTTTCTTTTACTAACAGGGGCACACTACCTGCCTGCTTTTTCTAGAGGAGGGAAGCGATACTCTTAATTAGGTCCCGTTTAAGGTGCTGAATATAGCCAGGAAACCAGACATTCTATGCTGTGGTTTTCTGATTAGAGGAAAACATGACGTTATTTAATCAGGACGTGATTAAGAGTGATATAGAGAGCAAGGGCCTCAAACACGCGGGCCGCATCACAAGGAATAAATTTGTGACTTCGCCAAACGCTATTCACACTACTTTCTCGTTTATTGCGATTAATAAGGCCCTGTTCGGGAGAGCTCCAGAGACAGGAATGGTCTCGAGCATTTTTTTCCCCGAGGAAGGTGCCCCATCATGCCGACAGAAGGGCGCGAAAGGGTCACTTTCAGGCCTCCCCAGCACTTGCTCTCACCAAGCGACACCTGCAGTGCACTCCCGCGCAATGGCTTGCACCCCCAAAGAAAAAATTCTGCCGACGACCATGTGCCCAATGCGGTCAGTATGTTTTGAGACATCAATTCGATATCTTTCTCGAAACCTACGTTAAACCTGTGCGCATATGGCCCATTTGTTAGATATAGAAGATGAATTCTTTGAAATGCCACCGTTAGGTGACATTTTGTTAAAATGCCTCCCGCTCTGACTTTCTTCACTGTTCCGGACTAAATTCGGCAATTCGGCCCGCTTCCTAATATTGAGTTTGAGACCGCTGATGTTGAGGAAAGGAAAATAGGAAGAGAAAATAAGTAAAAAAGTGCAAAGAAAATCAGCGTTATTTAAATTTGTTCATACGGCTAGCCTGGAAAAATACTACTACTACTACTACTACTACTACTACTAATAATAATAATAATAATAATAATAATTAAGACAGGCACTACGAGACGGTCTGCAAGAAAAGAATGTACAGCTGGCGCTGTATAGGTAGAGGCAGGAAGTCATGAAGAAAAAAAAAACAGCGCAAAGAAAAAATGAAATGTTTTATGCAATATTACGTATTAAATAATACAATGACGCAAGTGACATCACTCAGGTTATAGTGACGAGAAAACGTACAACATGATTTGGAAATATACTATACAATTGAGAAAAATATCCAACTACTAGATACTACGAGGTACATATCATAACCAAGCGAATCGCAATGCGAAAATGCTCAGTATTTAGTAGACGGAACCATTTAAGGTAAGTATACAATTGCATACATACTACGACACGTCGCGCCCCAAGAAAGTTAACCAGTTTGAATTGGTCACGATTCCGTATGCGATAAAATATAGCCTAAAATATAGGCTAATTGAAGCTTAAGGGTTACGTTGAGCAATAAGTAAAACTAAGGCAAATATTGAATATTGTTAGTCGGGCAATATACAGGTTTTATGTACTTAAAAAAAAAAACGTGATGCATTACATTGCGCAACGAATCAAACAAGGGAATTCGCACGATCACCGTCCCATTTATAAATGCTGATACAAGATTTGCCTCTACTTTGTAATGTGAGATAAAAAAAGAAAAAGAAGGCGAAATGCGATCAACAACGTGCAGTCACCTGTTAAAGAAGATCCGCTTGTGTTCGTGCCTGGTGAGCCGGACGGTACCTTCATTCTGCAAAAGTGGTCAGAAAGTCAGGTGACTGCAGTGGTACATATCAAATGAAAGTAGTGTAAAGCTTGCAGTGACCGTATTTAAAGGAGCCATAGCACCTAATTTTCGATCATATTCTGCGTTATGTGCGTTATTACTTGTGAATTCACAAATCGACATTTTATAGCAGGCAGTCGAGCACTTTGTTCATAATTTCATAACTGAATATTTTTGTAAGCACGCGAGCATCCTGAGAGTTGGGCAACACCGCCGCACTCGCGAGCCGTGACGTAACAAACGACCACAGCTGTGCGAGCGTCTGCGATTCCGGCGAACGATATTGTTCTGCGGTCAGCTACGCGTGAAATCGAGATATTTTAGCTTTCTTCAGCTTGGCACTGAAATTGAACGCGTCGGCGCGTCACGCGCCGTACAGCAAAATGGCGGTTGCCGGCGATGGCCGGGGTTTACAGCAGGCAACTCCGAGGGCTTGTTTGGCACGTAAACATTCTTTTACGGCCCACTTGTCACGTCTGAATAGGCATAATAGACTGTCTACTTCTAGTTTTCGCTGGAAGCGACGAATTGTTAGGTGAGCAGCCGCAGATATCAATGTTATTTTCAGACCGCTGTAGTCCGTCCGTTGCGACCTAAAAATAAACTAGAGTGCGTCTGCTCGTTTGCAGAGATTCTATAGTATTTATTACTGCGTATAAAAACATTAAAGTGAAAACAAAGCGGACATGTAAACAGGCTAGAACTCACGTGGGTGGAACGTCCTTGGTGAGATGTTTAATGTTGTTCAGCACACTGCGTAACGAGGCCAGTATTTGAGCAAACGGGGTGACGATCTGGTCTTCGCCATGCCTGCGTGAATAGAAAAAAAAAATAGTTCAGAAGCTTGGCGTCACAAACTGGAACTGAAGAAAGACACGTCGCGATTCTGTCGAGTCAGCCAAGTTCTTCCCTCAGACTGAACTCCAAGCAGCTCGGCTGCCACAACAGTCTCCCTTTCAACGAAAGCGAATGTGCATTACACGCTGTACATCTACGGCACTTGCGATTAGCTCATCGCTTCTCGATTCCCGACCTTCACGTGTAGTACATGTACTGTCGCCACACATCTAACTTCTAGTTACAACTGTAGCTAAAAGAACAGCGATGTCATCTCAGACGCTCAGTCATAAGTCATCCTACCCATAAAGGGACAGCATTACGAAAGAAGCCAATTCTAACAGCGGGCTACATGTTCAACTGGGACACTCCACCGAAAATAGCATTACGAAATATATTTGCCGACCCTCGGCCAAACTTTCGACAAAGAACAACGAGAACGAGTCACCGTAATCTCCACACTGCGACAAGGCAGTCATCAACTAAATTGATAGCGACAGTCAAGAGAAAGTATATATGCCGGCAAAATATCTGCATATCATTAAGGTGAAAGCCTTACGTGCCTCACGAAACAGGAAATTTGCCCGTCGTCGGCACCAAAAGCTAAAAAAAAATCCCGTCACGCGATGACACCACCAAACAAAATCATCATGACGCCATAAATTACGTGACGTCATGTGATGAAAGACTGTGGGAGCCACCCGATCGACTGCCAGAACATGGTCGAGCGTCTGCAAAGTTACACGAAAATTGCTAGAAACTATTGGCTACTTCTCAGAGTGATTCCACCACCGGATAAAAGCTTGAACAGTAGGAAGGCAGTTGCATGGCAATTTCGCAAACCCGGTCTGTGCATATCATGGTCAGAAAGATGATAAGCGAAACGACAATGTCAAGCACTGTGGGGTGAGAGGGACCCTCGACTACATAATATGCGAGTGTGGTAGTTCCCCACAGGGACTAAATCAAATTTAAATTGTATAGAGGCCTGGGAAGCCCTGGTGCGGAGCGAGGACCCTGCTTCACAGCGACAAGCCTTGCGGGAGAAACCGCGAGGAGTCGGAACAAGAGCTTCGCCTGCTTCTAATCGCGGAGATGCCGGCACCGGTCGGGCAGGTGTGCCGGAGACTCTGGGAGGTAGGGGGCCTTCTTATTTGGCGGAACAATAAAGTTGTCACGATCATTACCACACGATTAAGGTCCCTAGATAAACACGGTGCCGCTCTAGCACCCGGGCGGCGAACAAAACCGGAGAGCGCGCAATCTAGAGCTATGAAAATGAAGACGACGCTTGGCAACTGGGCATGTGAAGCCACGGCTCGTCTTCCTCCGTGCTGCCTTAAAGTACGTCGTCAGAGAAGAAGAAGATGAATTTCGCCTTAGAATGTACAATGGACCCTGCGAGTTCTTTCATCGACGAAGACAAAGTTTACATAACGTCCGCGGAGAGCTGTGAACAAAAAGCTTACATATTGTTCGTAGCAATACTTCAGAGCAGAAGGGTTGCTGGTTTTCTTGAGACGCGCCAATACAAACGAACGCCGCTAGCAGAGCGGGCGCCAAACGCTATGCGTGAGTACAAACAACATACGTTTTTCTCTTGCTCGTCATCTTCGCAATCTTGTTTTCCCAGCGGAGGATAGCCAACACGGCTCAGTCAGGTTAATCCCATTTCCCGAATGCCCCTCTAGCCTTCTGAACACATATGCTCTGTCTTGGAGAAGAAAAAAAAAAATGTACGTAACCACACAAAAACTCCCAAGCGTTTCCCCGAGGGTGAACATGGTTAAGTGCGAATACACGGGGTGATGCTATGAGGGGTATTTATTAATTCGCACTATTATATTTATTAATCACACTATGGTGCCTTTATGGTGTAATGGTTCCTGGGAATCGCAATTTGATCACACGGGGGAGTTTACGTTAACTCACTGGCGAATGCCAACGGATTTTAACTTTACTCGACGACCCGCTCTCGACGGGAGACTGAGAGAGAAGGCGGGCGCGCGAGAGAGAGGGGTGCGCGCGCAGCTGCAGCGAGCGAGGAGAGCGAAGGAGCGAGCGAAGGGGGAGGCGCGTTACTGACACCGATATCAGCGTCCGTGGCTTATTCGGTAGAGCGTCGCGCTGCGGCCCGCCAAGTCTTCTTTCTTTTAAAGATAAAGAGAAGACTGCGGACGCCGCCGACGGCGGTGGATGGTTTGGGGTCGCTTATAAAGTGTATTCACACTTAATAATATGTGCATATTACACATAGCACATACCGCGACAAACCCCCATCCGAGGTTTGACGTAAGAGAAGGAAGGGTGCGAGCCGGACAAGGAGGTTAGTATATATATACCTCCTAAGAGCCGGAGTAACTACATGCATTGAAGTATATTACGTACTACGTATTGTCTTTTCGTGCGCTTTTCTTTCTTAACATTTACATTACATTGATTGATTAACTTGTGGGGTTTAACATCCTAAAACCACCATATATGATTATGAGAGACGCCGTAGTGGAGGACTCTGCAAATTTTGACCATCTGAGGTTCTTCAACGTGCACCCAAATCTGAGCAAACGGGCCTACAGCATTTTCGCCTCCATCGAAAATGCAGCCGCCGCAGCCGAGATTCGATCCCACGACCTGCGGGTGAGCAGCCGAGTACCTTAGCTAGACCACCGCTGCGGGGCCAAAGTTACATTGCAGTTGCTACTGATAACATCTCCTATCTTTGGCATTATTGTCAGTTCTTACAACAGCGTAGAGTGTCCTAAACATTCACTAGAGGTACTCTGGCGCTAGGGTCTATGTGAGCTGCAACGCACGGCGCTTCAGCAAGCATGGGAATGACGAGTAGTACACGGATTAGTCTATACTTCTGGCTCCGGGTGTGTTCGTGTCGCTTGGAGCTGTTTTCTCACGAAACAAAAATCAGCAAATGTTCAGCAGTTGCGCTTCACCACCTTATTATTTTAGACTTACCATTTCGAATCGGGACACGGAGTTCAAAAGAGTTCGTTCTTTCTTTCAAAACAAAACCGAAACACATCAATAAACGAAGCCACAAGAGCGATTCACCGCCCGCAAGTACGAAGACTAGGCACATCCGTGCACTAACCATCATTCCCATGGTCGCTGAACGATCACAGCGCCAGAGTCCTCTATAGTTAATTTTAGGAAACTCTATGCTCACTAGTACTGTGCTGAATGAAAAAAGAACAGCCCTTGAATTCTTACTTCTTTCCTTCATGTATTGAAAGAGACAAACAAAATCAGATATTGTCGTGATCAAACCTTGGTGCTTATATACGCATGGTTAATTACAGCACCTACACTATGTTTATTAGGGGTGTTCAAACAGTAAGATTCGCGAACAAATATAAATACAAATCGAATACTTCTCTAATAGTTTTTGAATAGTGAGCCAACTATTTTAAAGGAATCCCTCGAATGGTCATATAAACAAATATGAAACAACCCGAGAAGTACACAACATTTTTATTTGAAACAAATGTTTACAAGCTTTAACAAAGCAACATTACAAATATTTTTAACAGACCAAAGTACCACAATTACGTAAGCCTATGTAACCTTGTAGTCCTAAAATATTTTCTAACTGCAGTTTGAAATACAGTAGTGATCACTGTATGCAAAGTGGCAGTTTTTTCAGCAGCTTTTAGCTAAAAAAGATGCAGAAATATTTAAGAATATTGTTGAGTGAACATCATCATGAATCTCACTGTGAATATAGTGAATTGATGACTGTGCCGCTTGGGCGACACTGCAGCTTTAAGCAAAGGCACCTTGATACAGCATCGAACAAAACCTTGGGCTTCACGCGTGCTATAACATCTATGACTCAGCCAAGAAAGGTTACACTTCTCTGTTCCCGCGCCTCATTTCGTTCAGGTGTCTTCATCGGGTCTTATATTCGAAAACTATTAGAAAAATATGCGATATGTAGTTAATATACCCTATTCGATGGGATAACCGAATCGAATATACCTGCAATATAATCGCTACTCAAAATTTCGGAATAACTCGCACACCCCTAATGCGTATAATAAATTCAGCTATATACGTAGTGAAGGGGGATGGGCTTGGTTTCCCTATGGACGAATGGGATGGTCGAGAAACGGGGCGAGCGCACCCTTACTGGCCCAGTAGCTGTCGTCTACGCTTTTATATATTATTATCACTTATTGACAAAGTAGCTCGACGAACAAAGAACGAAACTGAACGACGGAAACAGTGTACGCAGCAGAGAATCGCTAAAAGCATTCCTCGACGCCTCGGTAAGCAGAACGGGTAAGCATGCAGCGAAAACGCAGCTCGTTTGTCTTACACCGAGCACTTTGCCGAAACTGTGGCTGGGGATTTAGGGACGTTGGATGGGGGAGAAGCTCCGAATTCAAAGCGCGCGGCGTTCCAGCACTTCGTCCTCGAGATGCTCAAGCAGCATTTCGACCAAATTTCCCCTGAGAGAAGGAGAAGGCTAAAGAGAGAACCCCCTCCTTCCGTCCGGTTGACGTAAAGCCGGGTCTTGTTCCGTGTCGGTTTGGCTTATCAAAGCTCTGAGTTGCCGCTCCTCACATCCTGATAAATATTAATAATAGCAATAGTTAAAACAGCTTGTACTAACTGTTTTAAGCCCGAATGAAGTGCGGAGCTTGGAAGCCTTGTTGGTTTCTCTTCCATTTTCTTCTCTAATCTTTTGCTCTTACTCCGCTTTTTTTTTCTGTCCTTTTCATCTCTTTATTTGTAGTTATTCCTCCCTCTGTCTTTATCCATTTCTTTATCTTTCTTGCTCTTTCTACTTTTCTTATACTTTTTTCGCTTCCTCGCTTTTTCTATTTCGCGCTTGCTTCGTCTTCTTTTTTTATATCTTTACCTCCATTACGCCAAGCGCACATTTTTTTTCTGCTGTTGATAAGTGATCGTCATCAAGGCCCTCGAGCGACAAAGTAAAATGACTTTTCCTTGCA